AACGATTTGTACTTATTATGTGTGATCTTGTACAAATTCTTTAAGGCTATGTGTAACCTTGAAATCAATCAGTCAACTAGCATTTATTAAGAACCTACTCTATGCTCCAGGAATTATGCGTGTTAAATGAGTGAAGGAGATGACAGAAGGCATCTAAGTGATGTGAGATGAGGAACCAGGGAAGAAAGCTAGATCTCTGTAAACAGTCTCAAATTTTTTAGTGAAATATGAGACAAGGTTGTCAGCTGAGAGGGTAGGGGAAGGAGGGGAGCTATAGAGGAAATCGATAAACATTTATTAAACACCTACTATATCCTGCACAGTTCTATGCCTCAATTGCCACAAATGTAAAATAAAGATAGCAATTCTGACTAATATTGATAGACTTAACCCTTCTCAGCAATACAAGGATCTAAGACATCTCCAAAGGCCTCATGATGGAAAATGCTATCCACAAAGAAGGAAGAGTTTGAATGCAAATCAAAGCATACTATTTGCTAAATCCTCTTTCTGGTGGTTCCTCCTATTGGCTCTAACTCTTACTTACAACATCACTAATGTGAAAATATGTTTAATAGGAATGTATACGTATAGCCTATATCAGATTGTGCACCATCTTAGAGAGGGAGGTGGGGAAGAACAGGGAGGAAAATTTGAAGCTCAGAAGCTTATGGATGTGATTGTTGATAATTCAAAATAAATTAATTTAGAAAAAAAATTAAAGATAGCAATTCTATATTTTTGTTCAGAAAGCACTTCAAAAACAGCATCATGTTATGTAAATATGAATTTGATGATGAAGATGAAGAAAGGATATGGTGGTTCACATGTTCCTTTGAATTTTTTAACTGTTTCAACCTTAAGGAGCACAAGATTTTATAAAGAGCACAAATCCTCTGCTATAACACAAAAATATAATGATTTTGCTAAAGTATTTAGAAAAACAGTATAAAAATCCTAACAAAACTACTCAAAGAAACATGTCTTTCCCCAAAACTTGACTATAACAAATACTATGAAAATAAGATAAATGTTTTTCAGACCTACATCTCCATCAAAAATCTTTACCCCACATCCTTACAGCAACAGTCTGAATTATGAAACCTTTTCTTCATTTCCAAGCAACACCATATTGTTCTAATAACAACTGCTAACATTTATAGAGTACTTTAAGGTTGCAAAGTGCATTAGAAATCATTTGTTCCTTAAAGAACCCTGTGAAGTAGGTGCTATTATTACCCTCATTTTACAGATTAGGAAACTGAGGTTCAGTAATTAAGTGACTTGCCCAGGGTCTCATGGCTAGGAAGAGTCTAAGGCAGGATTCAAATTCAAATAACACGCTCTAGAATCTAAGGTCTGGCATAAAGCGACCAATCTCTCCAAGGGAAAAAAAATAACAAAATAATTTGGTCTCTGCAATGGTTTGTATTATCCTTCAGATTATAGCCTACTAACCACTAGGTGATTTTTAGCTGTCTTGATATAAATTCTGAGGAGATTAACATTACTTATTCAAAATTATTTAACAAAAAGAATTGCTGATAAAACAATATTCTTCTTAGGAGAAAATTTTAAAGCCAAGCTAGTGGCCAGCTACGAGAAGTATATACATGAAAATATACTTAGCAGGAAAAAAACACTGTGCATCTGTTCTGTACTTGTAATTAATCCTTATTTTTACAGTCTTATGTTGTAAAGAGTTTTCCAAACTAACTTGACTATGGAACCCTCTGGGGTTTGAAATATACTAAAAGAATCTATAAACACTGCAGGGATAGTGGGAAGTAGAGAGTAGCGTGAAGGGAGGAAATGGAAATTTTGAAGCAAAATAGGAAATTAAGTTTATTTTCATGCCACACCTCCCAAAATGCCGCAAGTATTTTTTATACATAGATAATTTCATGTTAACTATTTTGGATGGAAAATATCAGCAGGGTTATTTGGTTCTCTCAAATTTCCTCTGTAGAATTGATTACTTTCATATTTTACATTATATCCACTAAAAAACACTTCTAGTTTTTTCTATGCTAAAAACTAAACATTAGTCCGTCATCTTTTTGTGACAAACTTAAAGAAAAAACATAAAAAGAAAGCTGATTTTACATGTGCAAGTGTTATCTGGACTATTTCATATCTGAAAATTTCAAATCTTTAAATAGCTACCAGTATCAGGAAAACATGCTTCAAAATACAGACTTATAACAAGTATTCCTTTTCATCATTTAACCTTCTATATTTGACACAGATCACTGAATTAAAACCAAGTATTCTATATTGCTAAAGAAGGCTAAAATTTAAACACTTAAAATTTTAAAATAAGAACTCGAATTCTAGTTCTAAGGAGAAAAAGCTCTCCTGGAGAACTTTGATAGCCTTAGATAGAATTATAGAGATATAATTTTATTTGACTAAAATAATCAAAGCATGAAATAACATCCACTGCAGTTTTTCATCACTGATACAAATACTGAATGTCAAATTAATAAATAGTAACAACATCTAATATGCAAACATCATGTTGCAGTGCAAAAGAGAATGGACTTGGGGGTCATTAGACCTGGAAATTGAATCCCTCAGTCCCACATTTATTAGCTATATGACCTTGGACAAACTACTTTATCTCTCTGTAAAATGGGGATAATATTCTCCCCAGCCTACAGGATTGTTGTCAGGATCAAAGAAGAATGTATTCTGTAAAGTACTTTGTAAACTTTGAAGCACTATATACACATATCAATGATTATTACTATAGTAAACTCAAATATTACTTGAATAAATTAACAATTGAAATAGGAGTACTATAGGTACCCATGATGTTTCACAAAGGATAGTTATCTAGAAGCAGAAGGTCTCCAGAGCTGATGATACCAGGAGGCGCTCTATTCACAAAAATTATGAATTTTTAAGTGATTTAAAATCTTTTAGCACAGTATTATCTTGTTAGTGTAAATTTGCCTAAGTCCAACCTTAAAATAGCCCAATAATAATGATCATCATCTCTAAAGACTCAAGAAATGAAGCAAAGTGTGAAAAGATTTTGGCCAGGGGTTAAAGTATTAACCTGGTTAAAGTTTCAGATTTGCTGTACTATTTTTAACTGATCTTTCTGGCCTTAGGTCAAAGTTTTCCCAGCAAAATACCAAAGTGAAAATGCTGGGAGTACAGCCCAGAGACAATTCTTTCTCCTCTAGCCTAGGAAAATTCATGCCCTCTATGTAATCTATCCTATTCCAAGCCAGCACTTCCTCCAGCCCGTCAAGATCACGTGGTCTAGCAGCCCAAGAAAAAATTTGAAAACATGAAAAGAAAACTTCAAACACTACTGATACAATGCAGCAGATCTCTACACCCAGCACACTGCATAGATAGACACAAGCTGCTCAGTCAGTCCCAGCTCTTTGGACAAACAGGACTGAATCATTCTGCAAATGACTCCAGCAGTCTCAAAGATAACTGCCTGTAAGTAGTCAGTCAAAGGAAAGAGGAAGAGGAACAGTTTTCCTCAGGATGTAGTCACCAGGCTTCTGAATTGAGACTAGTATCTCCAATATTTTCAGAGACCGGGGGGGGGGGGGGGGGGGGGAAAAAAAACCCCTCCTGTCTGCAACCAGCAAGCGACACT